GCAAATTAACCATGGGGTGTAACAAGCTTTCTCTGATTGGCTCCTGGTCCACTACTGCGTGGAGAAGGCCATCTTTTCCACTTACTATTTCCACAAATTTTGTTTAGATTTATGAATAAAAACATTTTTTGTCTGTAATACATACATTTGAAGTAATCCAGCAGCAAGTGAGATAGTTTACAGAATCTTCCAATCATTTGACGCGCCTATCACACGTTCAAGTGTGCAGAGTATTTTGATTATATTATCAAATACACCACTGCATGATAAAGTTTAGAGAATATTAATTGTTAACGCAAAGATCAGGTCTTGCGAAGCTTTTAAAAAAAAAAAAATTAAAAATAGGAGGAATTCAGTTAACTGACTGAACTAAAGGGGGAAATAAGGGAAACTCCTAAATTGACCATAACTGTTGTGAAACTCCACAGTTTCACACTTCTAGAGTTTCACATCCACTTGAGTGGTTTCAAGGCTCCGTGGTGACTCGTCAGTCAGGGGAAAACGTGCGTTGACTTCAGTCCCACCAGCGTCTGTCCCTGTCAGTCCACCACTCATCTCTCCAACTGTAAACATGCTGCTCCTGCTGCTGCTGCTCTCATCAGTGTGTTTGATATCCTACTCAATAAGATGCTAATGCTAATAGCACTTTTTTTGGTTGTTTTTATCAGTGCAGTCTCTTTACTGTCCTTGTAAACCTGCTGTATACAACATCAGTGTTTTTCTTACTCGCATGCAACTGCAGGGTGACGTCCGGGCCCAGCGTGTGTCGGGCCAGAGGAAGAACGGCTCGTGTGTTTGCCAGGTGAACCCCGCCAAGTGGTCATTCCCCGCTGTGAATTACGAGGCCGCACTGCAGCAGGTTCAGTCCTGTGAAGGATCTCTGAGCAGCCTGCAGGAACAGGTGAGAACTAAGCAGCACTTTTTTTTTCAATAATAAAATGTTGTAAAAACCAGGCTATGAATGATATATGGGACAATAGCCCCGCCCTTCCCTACTAAGAGGGCATAATGAGGCAAACCTCTTTGCACTTTCCTTGATGCCCCAACATGCAGACAGATCAACAGCCCATAAAACAAGCTTTTTCTAGTTATTTTGTTCTCATAGTATTTTTGTGTCTCTAGTCGTTTTATGTTTCTTTGTGGTAATTTTGTCTCTTTGTAGTTGTTTTGTGTCTCAATGCAGTCGTTTTGTGTCTCTCAACTGCTTGCATCTCTTTGTAGTTGTTTTGCATGTCTTCGTAGTCTTTTTGTGTCTCTAGTTGTTTTGTGTTACTTTTGTGTCTTCATATTTGTTTTGTGCCTGGCCATGACTCTTAGCAGTCGTTTTATGTTTCTTTGTGGTCATTTTATGTCTCTTTGTAGTTGTTTTGTGTCTCAATGCAGTTGTTTTGTGTCTCTCAGCTGCTTGCATCTCTTTGTAGTCTTTTCGTGTCTCTAGTCGTTTTGTGTTTCTTTGTGTTACTTTTGCGTCTTTATATTTGTTTTGTGCCTGTCCATGAGCAGTCGATTTATGTTTCTTTATGGTCATTTTATGGTCATTTTATGGTCATTTGTGGTCTCTTCATGGTTCATGCTTGTCTCTTTGGGACGTTTTGTAGCTGAAGGTCAGAGGGGCCCCTGACACTTAGGGCCCCTGGGCCTGTGCCCTGTAGCCCAGTTCAGTAATCCATAGTAGCCTACAGTACCTAATGAAAATGAGGAAAAGAAGAACATTTCAGAATACACTACTTGAACCTGGAATCCTGAAAACACATTCAGAGTCCCTATCTGTGTCTCCCTGCAGGTGGAGTTGTCCAACAGGCGTCTCCCTCAGATCCAGGCTCTGATAACGAATGTGACGGAGCGGCTGAAGCCTCACCAGTACCTGCACAACCATGGCCTTTACACAGACTTGCCTCTGCACCTGCTGGGCCAGGAGCTCAGCCAACTGGAGACTGACATTGGTGCCATCCACAGCCAGTTAAACGACGGCCAAACAACGAAACTCTCCAAAGAGGTACTGCAGAACATGAGTGACAATAGTTATTATTTCTAAAGTTGCAGAGCATCGTCCACATGAGTAACATGATGTGAAACTCTATGTTCCATCAGCAAATATCAATATGATACAGCAAAGAATCATATTGCTAAAATAAGAATGCTGCATTATGTTAGTGTAATGTCATGGGTACAATACAGAAATAATAGAGAACACAACTGAAATTATTCATTTCAATTCCTCAAAAAAAAGGTACTTGTGGCAAAATGATTGAAAGCACTAACTCGTGTAGTAATCTATTGACCAGGTATGCCGAACCATAAGCACATTATCTGCTTTACGCTTCGTTTGAAATTTATACGGTTAGCTCCTTTAGACACGTCATTGAAAGCTAAAAGCCTCTGTGTGCTATGAAATACAGGTTGATACTTAGCACATCGGTGTTCACTTGGCATATGGACAGAGCTATTTATTTGGTGTTTGGGTGTAAAGTTGTGATTCAAAAATGCCATTTTTAGAAGAGTTTATATAGTTTGGAATGAAGTGTTGCTTTTGCAAGAGTTATGTACGTATGTATGTAGTTTTGACGAAGAGGGCCCTAATTGCCAATTTGTGTTTCAACAGTAACAGTATGTGTAAAATGTTGTAAATGTATGTGTGGGTGTGTGTGTATGTGTGTGTGTGTGTGTGTGTGTGTGTGTGTGTGTGTGTTAGGTGGCTAAACTGCGTACAGCTGTAGACAGGATGCAGATGTCAGACACAATTAACATGAAGACTGTCAAAGAGACATTGCGCTACCTGAAGAACAGTGCTGAGTCCTGCAAGTCCATCCCCAAAGACTTCAGAGGCAAGTATACTGTGTGTGTGTGTGTGTGTGTGTGTGTGTGTGTGTGTGTGTAGTAATTTAATCACATGTATGAAAATTGCAATTGATTTTGCCTTATTTGTTAAACAACTGAACAAATATTTTTGCATTGATTAAATGGTAATTTTGTATGGAACGATTTTCAAAAATGCAATTTGAAACTGAACATCCTCTACATTTTAATTATTATTCTCAAACTATGTGGTAGCATCTTATGAGGGATCCACAAGGCTCAGAAAAAATACTTCGCCCCCTGAGACTTTACAAATTCCCTTTTTGGTTTCCCATTAATTACTTCGACTGTGGCTGCCCACCAAAGTCTATTTTGTCCAGCCACAGTTTAATAATGAACCAAAAATATTCTTACACTTCTCAACAGGGAAGGCTGGCCGGCGGGTCCCTTTTCTTAAGCAGCGGTGCGGCGATATCTGCGCGTGTTTGTTTGTTCGTGTTTCAAGACCCATCTTGAAACACGAACCCCGTCTTGTTTACCATGCTTTGCGGGTGTGACTTTTTTGACGTGTCATCACCGATGTGTTTGATTAAATGATTTACGAGAGCACAGTGTGTAAATACTCTGTTACAAGTAAAAGTCCTTCATTCAAAATATTACTTAATAAAAGTCAAAAAAGATTCCGATCAAAATACTTAAAGTACCAAAAGTACTTAAAGTACCAAAAGTAAAAGTAAACTCATTTGCAGAATGGCCCATTCCAAATAATATATTCACGGTAGGCCTATAACATTGTATTATAAATATTGATGCATCAATGTGTTCAATGTCATCACTTTAATGTAGCAGCTGAAAGGTGTCTATTTTAACTACTTCAAACACTTAATAATGATGATATATACTACTTGATAATAGAATATCATTTATTAGTTGATTTGTATTTTGTATATTGTATTCTGATTCTGAATCTGTAAAGTAGCCTAACTAGTAACTATTATTGTCGAATAAATGTTATAAAGTTACATAAAATGGAAATACTCAAATAAAGTAAAAGTACCTCAAAATTGTAATTGAGCAAATGTCCTTAGTAGCATACCACCATTCCTTGAGAACAGAATTGGTTACAAGAGCACAAAGTTCTTCATAGATCTAGCATTTTAATTTTGCTCTCAAAGTGCACCCGATTGATTAAACTTTGTAAAATTTAGTACATTTTCCACGCCCATAGTTGCCAGTAGCTCCTCACAGGACTCTCGATTGGTCCGTGCTCTGTCTTACTGGGCACAAACTCTTTACTTAAAGCCCGACAGGATGGATTTTCGTTTTATATATGATCCCGCATTTTTCTTGCATGTTGCGGGAATCCAGCTACCATTGCAAATAATTCTGAAAATATGCTAGCCTCAGGGGAAAAAAAGCATCCACTAAACTCTCCCAGTGACTCGTGCTTTTTTTTAGACACGGGCGACTCATTAGCATCTTGTGTCCCTGTGTTGGCTACTCTTACTCTAGGCCAGTGATTCTCAACTGGTGGGTCACGGACCCATATTCAGTGGGTCGCGGGCCTTTGCCTGGAAAAAAAAAAAAAATCCTGTGCTTTTATTTTCAAGGGGATTTATTATGCAGTGGAGTGCCCTCTATTCACACTCCTTAACAATATTTGGTGTTAATGCCTTGTAATGCTAATATCAGCAGAGGATAAACTGAAAACTAACCCTCTGTCAAATGACACTATAAGTAGGCGAAATGAAGACATGTTGGATGACATCAAACAACAGACCACAGCTCGAATGACGCAAGTGGTCATTTTGCATTACAAATGGACGAATCTACAGACATAACAAACAAAGCAGTTTTACTCGTTTACGTGAAACATGTGTGGGACGGGGACTGACAGGAACCATATCTATGTACAAGAGAGCTCCCTATACTACGACTACAGAAGACATTTTCAGCTCAGGTTCAAACTGCACCATCTTTTCATTAAATAAATTTGAGAAGTTGAAAATTTTCCTCGATTTGGGTCGCGGCTTGTCATTAAGGGGTGATGGTGGGTCCCGCAGCCAGACCAGTTGAGAACCACTGCTCTAGACTGCACTCTGCATTTACCTTCTCGCCTCTCTCTGTTTCCAGGCCGGGAAAGGAACTGCCTCAAGGGCCTGATCTCCAACATTAGCGATCCTGTCATGACTAAGGTCAGTCCCCATGGCAAGAGCTACATCTCTGGTTCATGGGGAAAGCAGGCCCAGATGGACAGCGAGGGACAGAAGAACAGCTACTGGGTTCAGCCTCTGCTCAACAGCCACATCTGGGGCAACACCCTGCGACTATACCAAACATACAAAGACTTCATGGCCTCCGCCAACCACAGGGACTTCACAGTGGCTCCATCCTTCACTCACGTCAACACCATTGAGGGTCCCAGTGCCATCCTATATGGCGAAGCGCTGTACTATCACTGCTACCGCTCTGCAGATGTCTGCCGCTATGACTTAAACAGCAGCACCGTCCAGCGGGTGACCCTTCCGGGCATCGGCGTGGGTTTTAACAACAAGTTCCCGTATTGTTACTATGACTGCCGCGCCAATAGTGATGTGGATGTGGAGGCAGATGAGTTGGGACTATGGGCCCTGTATGCCACCGTCGGTAACCATGGTAATCTAGTGGTGAGCCGTTTGATTTGGGACGGCGAGGCCAAGACGCTCAATGTCACACAGACGTGGGAGACGAGGCTGTTCAAGAAGGCGGTGAGCAATGCTTTCATGGTGTGCGGCGTACTGTATGCCACTCGGTATGTGGACGAATACCGCGAAGAGGTGTTCTATGCCTTCGACACAGCAACAGGCAAAGAGGACAACACACTAGCACTGCCGCTAGAGAAGGTGGCTAAAGGAGTGGCCAGCCTGAGCTATAACCCCATCAACAGGCAGATCTACATGTACAACGATGGATATCTACTGGCCTACCAGGCACACTTCGACACTTTGTGATTCAATCACTCAAACCACTTGCAGAGTGGGTGTCACAGTTGGGTTTTGCTACGTGTGTTTGTGTGTGTGTGTGTCTCTCCTGATCATGCTCATTCTCTCCACCTGTGCCAAATCACCTGCCCCTGGTTTTTCCCTCTGCAAATCCCACTCATTTCCACTCACCTGCCGGAAATCCGCTCATCACCCCTCACATACTTATACTCCCCTGCTTGCCCTGTTCCAGTTGCCGGATTATCATTTGTTCCTTTTCCCTTCCCGTGGACTCTTCGCTCTCCTGTGGTTATTCCCTCGTGTTGACCCTCTGCGCCCCACGGTTTGTGTCTGTGCTTTTGGTGACCAAGCCCTTTTGTGACTTTGCCTTTTATTTTCAGTTTTGATTTTTCTCACTCCCTATTGGAGTTGTTTTTGGATTCTATTTTTGTCTGCTTGATGCCCAGTAAAGAGCCTTGCAATTCACCTCACCTTGTGTCCTGTGTCTAAGTCTGCGCCTGAGTCTCTGATCCACTCCTAATCCCACACGGTGAACCGTCACATTCGGTCTGGGACACATTTGACCACATTTCTTTTGTAGTGTACACACTCCCGATGCTTCCCCGACACGGACCAAACAGGAAACTACGTTCCTGTTTCTCATCTGGGTTCTAAAATTCCATCAGCTGGCTTTGTCCACGATGGCTGAACATTTAAAAAAGTCCATAGATATATAAAGAGTGTATCAAAGTCTGTATTGTTTTGATTTCTTTTTCTTTTAATTTCCAGCAGACTAGGAACACGAAGTGCATTGCTGCTGGTTAAAAACAGCGACGCATTTGGTCTTTGCAAAACTGAAAATGATGTGCGTGTTTATTTGCATGAAGAGCGGGGATATGTAATCCATTCACTGGAGATGCATTCTAACATCAGGTGTGAACTGTTGTCCACATTTGACTGGATCACTAGACGCTTGTTAATGCCAGATGAAAACGGGGCCGATACCAAATCAGGTACTTCATATTGTAAGGATTTGTAGGGCATATCACACACTGTATGTTATAACAAATGTTTGTAATGTAAATTTAAGAAAGCTGGAAAATCAATCAAAAAAAACAAATAAAAACTGAAATAAACTTTGGTAGCACTTTTTCCAAAACCAAATTTTTAATTAATTTGTGATACTATATTGATCCCGGAAGGGGAAATTTGTCTCTGCATTTGACCCATCCCTATGTAGGGAGCAGTGGGCTGCCAATGACAGGCGCCCGGGGAGCCTAAATATGATTATGTCAGGGCTTCGGTCATGCTTGGCAGCTCTGTGACAATTTACAATGAACAATTAACAATGAAAAATATATACCAGTAAATGTCTTCACTTAAATAAAAAAAATAGGATCTCGGGAAAAAGGGACATGTGGGGACAGGAGTCAAGTAGTTAGCGTAAGGCTGCATATTATCTGTAAACTACATCCTGGGATGTGATTTAGTTCCAGCTCTATTTACTTAGAGGCCTGCAGTCTGTAAGCAGTATATGTGTTGGTGCAAGTATACATTATTTACACTGACGGATTTTATCCTGTGCATCCAGTGTTTTCTTACTTTGTTGGAACAAAATCTCTGGGCTCCATTTTCGTATACTGAGGTTATTTCCTCTTGGCGATGCCAATCCAGTCGCTAATTTCTTGGTACCAAGAATGCCCTGCTGTGAGCAGGTCGACAGCTCAGTTCACCTGTGTTCCATATTTTGTCACTTTATTGAAAACACATCCATATACATTTCTCTAAATCACACAACCCCCATTGTTCCTGTTTTGTTTGTGTAACCAGGTTTCTTTAGGTTTCAAGGCTTTGTGAGACTGCACTCATGCAACGTGAAAGGTGATTCAGAGACCTTTGTGCCAGGAGTTTACAACTTTTGGCAGCGTCTTGGTGAGTTTTGATAAGTTAAGCTAGCATGCTAACTGTATTAGCTACGTTGTCCTTCGACGTGAGGGCATTGATATGTGAAGCTGGCGCTAAAACGACTGCTGTGAAATGGAGAGTGTTACATGTTTACTTAAAGCAGCATATTTTTGCATTGATAATTTACTGAAAAATGTGGATATGGTTGCAGCAAACTTATTTGATTTTAGTTGTTCGGCTACTTTTGTTGAGACTATCTTAAAAACATGAATGTGAAGTTGGTAAAATGATTATTGTTGTAACTCAGTTAATGATTTAAAAGAGAAACATGTTTAATCCATGGTTAAATAGTTTAAAAATACATCCTAATAGTTTTAAGAAGGATAAAATGCTCCATGTGATGCTTGATGTGTATTATTTTGAGAAGTTTGATATGTAATTCAATATGGCCATAACATGGCCATAACATAGATTAGAATTGCATGATCATAACAGCCTTGTCTTATAGAGGCTAGGTTTTTGAAGTTCCCTGGATACCTTTGAGACTGGATATGGAACTCTTCCTGACGAGGAAGATGGCGAGCCACCACTGAACTGATCATCTCCTTACCTCGAGGAGTAGGATCAAGATTTTCTTTGTTGCTGAGGAGAAAACAAGCGTCTCTTCGTTTCTCACCACCTGAGTGCACCAGTGTGGTAGGATTAAGAAAGCGACACATTTTACCAATTTGACTTATTCTTTTGACTTTGGAACTGAAACTGACTGTTGAATAGTTGAACTGACTGAATAAGGAAACAAGGAAGGAGCTTAAACGCGAAAGGAACAAATTGAAGGAACATTGCATCTCAGAGACACTTTTACACATTTCAATGGATATGTGCCGAGTTATCTGATTGAGAAGAGCATTGTAAATTTTGTATAAGATGTGAATTTTATTTTTATCTTCACAAGGTTCAACATAACCTTTTAAATCAAACCATTCTGTGGCTCCAGTTCTTTGTGTGTCTATTATTGGCTATAAACCTCTCCCTATGAACCTAGGTCCTGGTCCAACAAATAATTTGAGTATACCTGCAGATACTAAGAGGGTTACATTTGTCTTTCTGCTTTTCTTCTACATTTTTTGAAAAATAAATGTTCTCGTTAATCAGTGTGCTATATCAACATTAATGTTAATTATGACACCAAATCAAAATTAAATCCCCACCGGATCTGCAATATATTCCATATAGCAACATTTTCAAAAATATTTTTCTCCCATAATCTGAACATTGTAATAACATATGAGAGCATTATACAAGAAGGCTGCCTTCCTTATTTTTTTTTTTTTACTGCTTTACAGACAAGACTGAGATACTCTTAGTTAGTCCTGAAAGTCAGAGACAGGAAATGTATTCACACGTGGCATCGCTGTCTCTGAAATATAATGAACAAGTCATGACATATTGGCATTATTTAAGACACTGATCTCAATTGGGGAAAATCACACAAACAAATTTAATCAGAACAGCGTTATATCAATTAACAATGTATCAAATCTGAGAGCATTCATATCTCAAACTGACTGGTTCATGCATTTATCTCAAGCAGGTTGGACTACTGTATTTGTAGAATTATTCAAACAGACAGTATTATCTAAATAGTCGACTCCAGCTCGTTCAAAATGCAGTGGCCAGAGTCCTGGCATGTACATGAACATTTGAACATATTACTTTTGCTGGTAATGAAATCACTTCAATGGCTCCTGGTACAACACAGAATCACATTCAAAACCCTGGTAATAGTCAGACCTTGATCTGGCCTCTCACGTCATCTGGGGGTCATTTTAGGGGGGCTGAAGCCCCCCTAAAATGTTCTTCAGCCCCCCCAAATAATTTGGCATTATTGGCTTTAAAAAAAAAAATAAAAAATTTTTTTTTTTTGGTGATGTCATTCAATTACACTATTGTTTCTCACATGAACAAGTTATTTATAACTAACATTCTACATACAGTTGTGTGAAAAAGTGTTTGCCCCCTTCCTGATTTCTTATTTTTTTGCATGTTTGTCACACTTAAATGTTTCAGATCCATCCATCCATCCATTTTCCTCCACTTATCCGGGGTCGGGTCGCGGTGGCAACAGGCCAAGCAGGCTGACCCAGACTTCCCTCTCACCGGCAACATGTTCCAGCTCATTCTGGGGGATCCCGAGGCATTCCCAGGCCAGCTGGGAGATGTAATCCCTCCAGCGTGTTCTGGGTCTTCCCCGGGGTCTCTTCCCAGTTGGACGTGCCTGGAAAACCTCCAGTGGGAGGCGTCCAGGAGGCATCCTAATTAGATGCCCGAACCACCTCAGCTGACTCCTTTCGATGCGAAGGAGTAGCGGCTCGACTCCAAGCTCCCTCCTGATGACCGAGCTCCTTACCCTATCTCTAAGGCTGAGCCCGGCCACCCTATGGAGGAAGCTCATTTCGGCCGCTTGTAACCGCGACCTTGTCCTTTCGGTCACGACCCAGAGTTCGTGACCATAGGTGAGGGTAGGAACGTAGACCGAGTGGTAAATTGAGAGCTTTGCCTTCCGGCTCAGCTCCCTCTTCACCAAGACGGTCCGCTGCAGCGCCTGCTTTACTGCTGCAGCCACACCGATCCGTCTGTCGATCTCCCGCTCCATCTTACCCTCACTCGTGAACAAGACCCCAAGATACTTGAACTCCTTCGCTTGAGGTAGGCACTCCGTCCCCACCTGGAGGGAGCAATCCACCGGTTTCCGGCAGAGCACCATGGCCTCAGATTTGGAGGTGCTAACTCTCATCCCCGCCGCTTCACACTCAGCTGCAAACCGCCCCAGTGAATGCTGGAGGTCACGATCCGAGGAGGCTAACAGGACCACATCATCTGCAAATAGCAGAGAAGCGATCCCGAGACCCCCGAGACTGACGTTCTCCGCCCCCAGGCTGCGCCTAGATATCCTGTCCATGAAAATCACGAACAGGACCGGTGACAAAGGGCAGCCCTGGCGGAGGCCAACACCCACCGGGAACGTGTCTGACTTATTGCAGAGAATGCGGACACAGCTCCTACTGCAGTCGTATCGCCCGTTGTAACGGGTCCGGCACCCCATACTCCCGCAGCACCCCCCACAAGACCCCCCGAGGGACCCGGTCGAAAGCCTTCTCCAAGTCCACAAAGCACATGTAGACTGGTTGGGCAAACTCCCAGAACCCCTCCAGTAGTCTTGCGAGGGTAAAGAGCTGGTCCACTGTTCCACGGCCGGGACGGAATCCGCACTGCTCCTCTTGAATCTGAGGTTCGACAAGCGGTCGGAGCCTCCTTTCCAGCACCCTGGCATAAGCCTTCCCCGGGAGGCTGAGTAGTGTGATACCCCGGTAATTCGAGCACACTCTCCGGTCCCCCTTTTTGAAGATGGGAACCACCACCCCGGTCTGCCATTCCATGGGCACTGATCCCGACCCCCATGCGACATTGAAGAGGCGTGTCAGCCAGGACAGCCCAACTATGTCCAGTGCCTTCAGCATCTCAGGGCGGATCTCATCCACCCCCGGCGCCTTGCCACCAAGGAGCTTTTTAACTACCTCAGC